CTTAAGTAGTTAAACTGTTATTGTGCGACCTAGGCTATCGCGTATAACCCTTTATCGGCGTTTATTATGTCGACTTTCACCGACATTCGTTCTTTATTTTTGTGCTTTCCCTGAGTCGACTCTTTTTTTTTTTTATATTTTTCCTAAGCCGACCCTTATCGCCATGCCTGATCTTTGCCTTTGTTTCTTTTTCTTTTAGCTTCCCACTCCGGTTCTTCGGCCGACACCCTCGACAGATTGATCGACAGGGGCCTTGACCAAGCCGACTCAAGCTCAGTTGAGATTACCGGCTGCAGGATGGTGAACGTTTCACCCCCTTCATCGGGTACTTCAACCCCGAAGGTCGACTGGGCCGAATATGACCAAGCTTTATTGGACGGTGGTCTAGTTGAGGTCTCAAAGAGTCCTCGAGGAAACTCTCCTCGTCTCGACTTGATTCCTCAAGGTATTCCCCTTAGGTTGTTAGATGTCCCTGTGTATAGTACCAGTCCCGTACCTGTATCTTTAGTTACACCTCTCGATCCTCGAAAGGTTGTTTCGGTCGCTTGTACTCTGGCCAAATTAGCCACTTTAAACCCTTTTTCTTACGCCTCTGCCGCTCGAGTCGAAAGCTTTAGGCAGTTTAGTGGTCTTCCCTCCGATTGGGAGTTAGTTACCCCGGGTCCCGACGGCAACTTTGCCTATCCCCCCGAGGGTTGTTACACCTTCTTTGTTGACCAAGTTATCTTTGGCCTGCGTTTTCCCGTCCAAGCCGAGCTTTTGGAGATTAGTGACTTGTATAAAATCCCAATAAATCAGTTTTCTCCCAACGCTCTCTGTATCATGATAGCCTTCATTGTTGTTTCCCGTATAGTTCTTCATTCTTTTTCGGCCGAGTTTTTTCATTATTGTTATAGTTATCGACTCTAGAAAGGGGCCCATTGTTTGATCCGTCGCCCTGGTGTGACTTTTCTTGACGATCTCTCGTCCAATGTCCCCGAGTGGAAGTCGCAGTTTGTCTTTATTCGTCCTTCCGGGGGTGCCTATCCTTATACAAATAACTGGATAAGTACCAAAGTTAAACAGAATAAACGGTCTCCATCCGAGGACTTTGAAAAACTCTTAGCAGACTTGAATAAATGTACTTATAGCGCTCGACGCATAATAAAAGACCGTGGGTTGGTCAATCATGCCCGAATCGTCTTGTACGACGATCTTCCTCAGCTCGATGATCCTCGTAAGCTGTTCAGCATTTCTTACAATACCGAGTCGTCCCTTGTATTTTTCTAACCTTTGCTTTTATTATCATTTTTTCAGTTAATACACTTAAGCGCTTCGAGGTGAAGAAAACGCCTGCTGCTCCCGTGCCACCCGGCAAGTCAGGTGCGCAATCGACAGCGGCGGCTCGAAAACGTAAGCCCTCGGGCCCGATTGCCCGTAAAAGGCCTCAGGACGATCGCGCCCCTCCCTTGCTCCCTGGTGACTCTAAGCGCTGTAAGGTCGACAAGGGCAAGGAGAAGGTGGATGAGGGGAACACTGTCTCCAGACGAACAGAGTCGTCCGTCACTTACAAGGACGCGTTGGTTAAAATGCCGTCCCGTCTCT